CAGAGCTTTTCCTGGGTCCTGCAGGTCCGTGTTGGGAGGGTTTCCCATCCCATGTTACCACTGCTAACAACCCCCTTGACACAAGGCTTTAATTTCACTTGGGATTTAATTCCTTATTAGTTTTGCAGATTTTGTGCTTGTCCACATCTTTCACAAACTGAAAATTTTCTGTGACGTGCTGTGTCAAATGCTTTACTGGACTTCAGGTGGATTCACTGTACCACAGCTCAAAAATCTGCTATTGCTGCTTTCTCTTCCCCGTGCCCCTGCTCAGAACCAGGATTGCGGTCTCTGGTTATAAAACACCACTTTTTTAATAGCTCTGTCATAAATCCTTACACTTGGATTTGCAATTTCATGTGACAGCTCTTTCCCGACACCAAATGGAGTTTATCTCGTTTTCCTGACTTGAACCTCTCAGGATTTTCCCTTTTGCTTCATCTTGGAACTGTAATTTCCATTTCCAAGCTTAACAGCATCCTAATTCTCATTGGAAAGAAGGATGGTATAGCCCTCATTCTGGGTTGGGCAGACACCTGTTCCTGGTCACCAACTCCCCCACATCAACCCTCCTGCTCTGCCTCCTCTTCAGCTCCACCAACAATCATCCACAAGCCACAGATCTGAGCCAAAACTTTTTTCCCCCCAGTTCAGACTCAGGAGGAATTCAGGTTACAGCTGCCTCCTCCTTGTGCTAATGCCTGCTCTTGTAAAAGGGAATCAGTGACTAACAACAAATACATACCCTGAGGCAGGATTTGTCTCCTTGAGGGCTCCTGGCTGTTCTGATGGCAAGAGCCGCTGGCAGCTTTTTATCTCTGCCAAGAAGATCTGCCCGTTTCACCAAACACACATCCCCCTCCCTGAGCTCAGCACATCGGCTGACCTGGCCCTGGAGCCCACCAGATTCCCCGTCACAGGGCAAGTCCTGCTCAGCCCCTGGTTATTTTTGGCTGTGYCTTTGTCTCTGGGATCCTCTAACCTTTAGCAATGAAAACAAAACCACAGAAGGTGCTGCCCTGGCCTTTGGCTCGCTGAGAGCAGTGGGATGGGCAGAGGCTGAGGGCTAAAACCTCAAATTAGCAGCGTGGGACTGGAATGAGCCAGGCAGCTCAGACCTGTCATTTCAAGGGCAGGAACCTGCGGGGAGAGAGGAGGTCATCATCTGGTTTCAGACAAATGCCCACTTTGTGCTAATTAATTAGAAATCCAGCACAGATAACAGAGTGCTTAGATGACCATTTAGCTGAAGGATTCCTGTAAAGCCACATGTGGCTATCCAGCAGCCAAGAAAGAGAATTCACCTGCTGCTTTCATTAGAGATGCTCATGAGTAAGAGAAAGCAGAGCCTGGGAGTTGGGAAATCAGGAGTTTGCTCATGGCTCAGGCTCTTTGTTCGTTAATACCAGCCCAGGGCAGAGCTGGATCACACAGAAGCACTGATCTGAATCGAGTCAGGCACCCACAAAACATCAGCTTCTTTCCAAACCAGCCAGACCATCCATGCAGCTGTGCACATCTGGATCAGTGACAGGAGCTCCTCCAACCATTTTGAGTTTTCTGCTTTTAGGATTTTTTTCAATCAGATGATTGCATTCAGCACACATCCCTCTGTGAAGATACAAACAGTTGTGCTGAGATAGACACGTCAGGAAGATGGATRRGATGTTGCCTAAGCCAGGGCTGTTRCAGARAGAATTGCTGTCAATTTTTGACCTCAAGCTCAGCAAGTGGCTTCAGGGAAATTATTTAAGTTTGCTATCAATTCTCATCTACAGGGAAGGAAAGTGTTAYATGGCAAAGACTCACTTTCCAGAATGAAGGGAGGTAAAATGAAAAAGCAGTTGGAAACTACTTCACCAAACTTGCCTGGAAAGAAGGGAGAAGAAGGAAKAAAGAATGTGCAACTATCAAAGACAGCACTCAGTCAGTGTGGAGGGTTGATGTACCATGTCTAACTCATCCTGTGTGAGATCATTCCTATCCCTAAGGCCACTACAAGGACAAAACTTCACCCATTAGGATACTCGATCAATATAATCACAGACAAAGAGCTAAGCAATAAAAATGCAGAGGTTCATTCTGTAATCCTGGAGTCGTGAGTAAGGAGAGCAGTGAGCGTGAGGGGAGGATTTGCAACTTGGCTCTCAGTGAAGGYTCCTCTCTCCAGAGTGCAAATCAGAGAGGCAGCCAGGTGCTAAATAAATATTTAGCAAATGAGAAAGTCTCCATTTAATGAGAAATTATTTGGTGAAACCAGCTGGGGAAATGGTTTCAGTAGCGCGGTAACAGAAGCCGGCGCTGCTCTCTGCCCCGYGGGATGCTGTGGTTCCACTCGTGTTGCGTAAGTCAGGATCTCCAGCTGGGACAGGCACAGGAAATAGAACTCATTGCTGAAATGCAAGAGCCTTKCAGGGTTAAACCACTGTTAGACCAGCCAGATTCATTCCCTGGTTGCAGAATTTGCCTAGCAGCAGCTTTGGATGATTACTATCTTCCTTCATAACAGCGATGTTGCAGACAGGATGGTCTAAGCGTAGTGGCGATGCCAAGTTTGTAGGAAGATGTAATTTTTCTTTCTTTTATGTTCAAGGGCTGAGCTCCATTTCCTCACTTTTATCTACATCATTAGGCTGTCGAGATGGCAGTTCCCTGCCTAAATGTTAATTACTATATCTCTCTTTTAAGAGGTGTTTTCAAGGGGTTAGTGCCTCAATCTTCCTTGTAATTACATGCGGTGGTTAGTACAACTCATCGGCTACATCCCAGGGTCCCSTGAGAGCTCATCCCTGCTGCAGTTTCCAGCAGATGAACACTCACAGAACCAGTCCTTCAGAGTGCTGCTGTCTTCAAGTGTTCAGGCAGATAATGAGGCGATTACTGTGCCTGCCCGTGCTGCCGACGGCGAGCTCTGTGCACAGACAGGCTGCACATCACCGCCTGCTGCAGTTCATATTGCTCCCTTCTCTCTATCCCTTCAACTCGGCAAAACTCTGAAAAAAACAGTCCCTCCCCGGGGCAAGAACTTCCA